AGACTAATGTTCACATGGAGCATGAGGAAGTCGGTGTATCAGAGAGTAACATGCCTCCTAAGAAGCTTCAGTTTAAGTGCACACAGTTGTCATACCGACTCTGTAGAACAAAACTGATACAATTACAAAACTATATTCGACAGTGTGCCATGTATTACTTTGCTGAAACTATGGTTTGATTGTAAAGTATAAAGTTTTGGCCTAAAATCCACTGACTACCAGTCAGTGATCATATGACTGCAATTCCCAGGTTGCACAGTACAGTCTGTACATTGTCATTCATTTTGAAAGATGAGCTGTGCTGTTAATTATGTTGAAAATGTTTGTGTTGATATTATATATCAATACTGTTACTGGGGTGTAGATTGTGTATGTCTGTCTTAATGTGATTACTTTTCCAGGCTGAACAGCTGTAAGCTCACAGATGGATGCTGTGAGGCACTGGCTTCAGCTCTCAGATCAAACTCCTCACCCCTGAGAGAGCTGGACCTGAGTGACAATTACCTAGGTAATTCAGGACTGAAGCTGCTCTTTGCTGGACTGGAGGATCCCAGCTGTAAATTGGAGAAGCTGAAGTGAGTACAGAATATCCATTTTACAAAAACTAAACTGGGCATCAAGAAATCCCAGAATGCATTTCAGCAGTGACATAATAATCAAACAGCTTATTTTTTCTTGTCCTACTTCCTTATATCCCACAAACGTATCAGCACTCAGTCCAGGTTAGAAACAAACAAGTAGTGAAACAGGAAACAGCCATTCATTCTTAATACATGCAAATGATTAGTGTTGGTTAGTTTAATAGGATTTTAAAAAGAAACTGACGGTAACATTGAAATTAAACATCCTGACTTTAACATGTAAAAATATATTGGGCACCAGTGAAAACCAGGATGACTTAGAATGTTTCTTAGTGAATTCAGTGTTTTAAAAAAATCTCTTCCATCATCAGCTCTATTCTCCTCATTTGCATTTTCTATACGGTGTACCAGTGTAAAAAGTTTTATGAGTGTTTAATTTTCCTAAGGTTGGGCACCTGTTGTCTCTCAGAGAAATGCTGTGAGGCGCTGGCTTCAGCTCTCAGATCAAACTCCTCACCCCTGAGAGAGCTGGACCTGAGTAACAATATGCTGTTCGATTCAGGAGTGATACTGCTCTCTGCTGGACTGGTCGATCCCAGCTGTAAACTGGAGAAGCTGAAGTGAGTTCAGAATATCCATTTTACAAAAACTAAACTGGGCATCAAGAAATCCCAGAATGCATTTCAGCAGTGACATAATAATCAAACACAAACAGCTTATTTTTCTTGTCCTACTTCCTTATATCCCACAAACTTATCAGCACTCAGTCCAGGTTAGAAACAAGAAAGCAGTGAAACAGGAAACAGCCATTCAGTCCTAATACATGCAAAAGATTTGTGTTTGTTAGTTAATAGGATTTTTTTTTTTAAATGACGGTAACATTGCAATTAAACATCCTGACTTTAATATGTAAAAATATAATGGGCACCAGTGAAAACCAGGATGATTGTCTTAGAGTTTTAAAAAAATCTGTTTTGTTATGACCTGTGTTCTTCTCAGTTGCATTTAATATACAGTGCACCCGTGTGGTTTAATGAGTGTTTAATTTTCCTAAGGGTGGGCAGCTGTGAACTCACAGAGAAATGCTGTGAGGCACTGGCTTCCGCTCTCAGATCAAACTCCTCACTCCTGAGAGAGCTGGACGTGAGTGACAATGATCTGCAGGATTCAGGAGTGAAGCTGCTCTCTGCTGGACTGGGGGATTCCCACTGTAAACTGGAGATATTGAGGTCAGTAGTACTGGATATTCCACACTGTAAACTGGAGATACTGTTGTTACGTCCTGGTCTTGGGACGGGGTATAAACACCGGTAAGGTTCGGGAAATCGGGAACGGGGAGTCGGGAGGTAGAGGATGAGGAGGTTGGGGAATAATTAACACCCAAGGCGTTGATGATGGTAACAGAAAAATATGTGTATTTGGGGAAAAGATGAGCTTCAGGAGTGACACCGGCCAAAACAATAAACAAAACCAAGTGAACTAGATACCCGCGTACCGACCGTAACTTCCCTAACCCGAAAGAAAAAATAAAACAAAAGACAAACGCTATCCTAACCCTCACTAACCACAAAACAGATGAAAAATGCCGTACACACAGAAAACAAATGGCAGTGACTCCCTACAACCCTTACACCCATAAACACACACACAAATATATACATACTGTATTTACACCGGCAACCAAATCCAATCCGTAATCCTAAGAATAGTTGATAACCAGACAGTCAAAACACGGGTAAACTAATACAAACTGAGTAAGCAAAACCGAATCGAAAACCAAAAACCCGAAAGTCAAAAGCCAACAACAGGTCGTAACAGTAAATAAGAAATACAATAAGCAAAAGGCAACGGCAAGACAAAGCACGAGCAAAAGCTGGGTGATGGGGTGTTCAGGCGTCTTTTATAATCCGGGGCTGGAGAGGCGGGAAACGGGAACGAGGCGATGATAACCAGTCCATCCAGTTTTGGCACGGCTTTTGTGGTGAGAGATGGAAAATGCGGAACCGGAATCAGCAGTTTGACGGAATGGGATCTAAAGGAGAGAAAGAATGGACACACACACATATGGACGTAACACTGTGGTCAGCATTACTGGGAATTTCCCACTGTAAACTGGAGAATCTGAGGTCAGTATTACTGGGTTTTCCACACTGTAAACTGGAGAATCTGAGGTCAGTATTACTGGGTATTCTGCACTGTAAACTCTACATATTGAAAGTGGTTGTATTGTAAATATGAGTCACATTTACTTAAATGTTATGCTTGTAATGGTAAGGTGATCTTCTTTATCTGAGTTTTTTCTGCTCTCTGCAGGCTGTCAGGTTGTAGAATCACAGAGGAAGGCTGTTCTTCCCTGGCTTCAGCTCTGAGGTCAAACCCCTCACACCTGAGAGAGCTGGATCTGAGCTTCAATCACCCAGGAGACTCGGGAGTGAAGCTGCTCTCTGCTCTACTGGAGGATCCCAGCTGTAAACTGGAGAAGCTGAAGTGAGTACAGAGTGTGTGCCTGTCCCTGCTACAGACACATGCATGTGAGACAGATACAATTATTTAATAAATGAATATACCTGTTTTATGTCATTCTGATTCTCCTATAGTGTGGACCACAGTGGAGAGTGCCGGACCAGACCAGGCGTACAGAAATGTAAGTTTTTTTTAAACCATTAATTCTCCATTCAGTGTTGTACATGAATGCCCTACACAACTGCCCTTCTTTGAAGGCACTCATATTTTTGGTGGACGGTGAACTGAACACATCAGTTTGCAGCTAATGAACATGAACGTGAGCATTGTTCACTCTGGCAAGAGTGAACGACGGTCACGCACCAGATTTCATATGCTGATATGAAATTCGATGTATTACAGTGTCCAGTGGTGGAAACTAACAAAGTACAGTGGTACCTTGGTTCTCGAACTCACTAGAACTCGATTTTCTTGAAAGTCGAACAAACCAGTTTGACCAGAACTCGATCTGAATATCAGAAGTTGAACCGTGGACGCTGACCTAATATAAATTGTACGCACCAGGAAATGAGTCATACTACAATGTAATTCTTACTTGAATGCCTTCTTCACGGACTGGACGATTAACCAAATAAAGCAGCGCAACATTATAGTAACTAACAATAAATAAACCACTAACTTACATGTACTATTAGAGCATTTATGTCATTTATTTAAACTTTATTTTACCAGGTAAATTAACTGAAAACCAGTTCTCACTGCTTTACGTTATATTCGGGAGAAATAGCAGATTACGCATCGGAACTGCCTGGGATACAAACGTCATGCGTGTAACTAAACTCTTCAGTCAATAAGGGCAAAGGTGTGTCGTCACGGAGGCGGTTCCAGTTTGTGCAGCCGGGTGAGAGGCCCCAATGCATCTAACCGTAATGCATTGCATCAGGATCAGAATGCGTTGCTTTAAGCCAGCGCTGTAAGCAAGTCGAACGCCGAGACTGGGGAAACAAACAGAAACGCGGACTTAATACAGAGGACTAATGACAACAACCAGAAACAGCTGATCACATGGGGATCCCACACGAGGTTAACGAGGGGGCGTGGCACACGGACGATCGGGCAGGACAGGGATAATGTTGGGATAAGATCTTTTTCGTTTTGGAAGCCATTAAGAAATAAATGCTATTCTTGTTTTATCCTGTTCATTTTATGTTTAAATGCTTTTATTTATATATATATATATATATATATATATATATATATATAGAGAGAGAGAGAGAGAGAGAGAGAGAGAGAGGTGTAATTTTGGGGGGCCGGAGACCAATTAATTGGTTTTCCATTATTTCTTATGGGAAAAATTCGATCAGAACTCGAACTTTTTAGGATTCGATCCGGAGTCCAGAACGGATTAAGTTCAAGAACCGAGGTATCACTGTACAGTTACTTCAGTACTGTACTTAAGTACATTTTTCATATATCTGGTCTTAAGTTGGACACTTTTGAATTTTACTCTGACTTACAGCAAATATACTTTCTACTCTACTTCATTTCTACTTTTCATCACATTACATTTTACAGTCACGTTGCTGTTTTTTTTAATCGGATGTTGACAGGGAAAGGTAGTGATGGGACAGATAATATTGAGATTTCAGAGCTTTTATCATCAAAGTAAATCTCAGCGACTCCAAGCGGGGAGGAGCGTCAGAGGTCTGGAATCCTGTCAGCTCTTAGAAACCCTTATAAATGCAAGATAAAACCTTTGGACGTCATGTTTTTTTGTGGCTGGAGAGATTGTTTGCTATACAGTTTGTACTACACACACCACCTTTTGTGGAACTGATACGATGTTGGAGAAGCTCAGCCTAATAGATATCAGGCGAATCCTCCATGCTTTGGAAAAAGACTCTGCATTCGTTTCCCACCCACATGCCTCTTACTCCAGAATTGATTATATATTGATCTCTAAGGACCTTATTAGCGATATTAAATGGAAATGTTATTCTCTCTGATCATGCAGCGGTTGATATTGTACTGACCACCTTAGATGATGAGGAGAGAGCTATACGATGGCGATATAATAACTCACTCTTACTAAATGAGGCAGCCTGTAAGTTCATGAGAACAGCCATAGGAGAATATTGGCTACATAATGAAGGCTCTGTCTCGGACCCTGTTGTTACCGGGGATGATCTCAGTTTATAGGGGACGGTTAATCCAATATTGCTCATACCGGAAAAAACCCGACAGTTAAAAACTTATTAAGCTAGAATGACAAATGATAGAACTTCAAACAGAATATGTGAAAAACCAGACCAAACTATTTTAAGTAAAGTGAATAACCTAAGATTCCACATGAATTCCATTATCCAAAAGAAAGCTGAATTTGCCCTGTTCTGCACCAAACAGCAATACTATGAACATGGAGGAAGGGCCGGTAAATTGCTCACATTTAGGGATAAACAGCTTAGTGTCCAAAATATCATCCCATCTATATTTAACAGTCAGAGGGAACTAAGTACAGGGAAAAAGTGTATCAGTGAGGTTTTCAGGGAATTTTATCGTAACCTATATCCATCCCAGACAGAGGGCTTTACAGACCAATAAGACCAGTTCTTTTCATCAGCTGAGGTGCCTTGTCTGTCTCCAAGTAGTAGAGATTTACTGGAATGAGACATAACATTACAGGAGATTAAGGATGACATTATGGACCTTAGACCTGCCGGAACACAAGGGCCCTGCGGGGGTTAAAATCTTTAGTGGTGTTTGTAAATTTAATTTCTAAATGTTGTATTGGATATGTTTTTTGTGACTAGTTTGAAAATTCAATAAACAAAAAAAATACGTTTTGATATAGCTGGGTGTCTTTTTTGAATTTCACACTTCACGTTTGTTCTTTTTGCGCATGCGGTGAGTGTCCTCCCGCCGCCAGCTGACATTTCCTGAGGTATTAAACAGACCTGAATTCCCGTTTCATCAGGGGAAGCTCTGCTGTTTTCCTGTTGTACAGCAAAATAAAACACAGACTAAAGTGCAGTGCGGTCCCAAGCGAGTCTGTCAGCGCTGCGTCTCTCACACAGTGCGGGGGCTACAGGAGTATATTAGGGATAAGATGTGTGTATCGGGGCGAGTTCTGTGTCAGTGTGTGAGGTGTGACAGTGATTAAATGGTGGAGATGCTGGTCTGCCTGATGGTATTAATCGCTCTTCCTCCTTCCTACAGACTCCTGCCAGCTGACACTGGACCCCAACACAGCACACAAACACCTGTCTTTCTCAGAGGGGAACAGGAAGGTGACATGGGTGTGGTGGAGAAAGGAGGGGTCAGGTCGTTATAGTCAGGAGAACTTTGATGACTGGCCAGTCCTGTGCAGAGAGAGTCTGACTGGCCGCTGTTACTGGGAGGCTGAGTGGGATGGAGATGTAGCCGAGATAGGAGTGACTTATAAAGAGATCAGGAGGAAAGGAGGGATGGACTGTGATCATGACAAGTTATGGAGTCTGCAGTGTCGTCCTGATGAATACTTTCTCTATACCAAAAATGGAGGGCCTGGCACACCCATACAGCCCTCAGGCTCCCGCAGAGTAGGAGTGTATCTGGACTGGGAGGCTGGTATTCTGTCCTTTTACAGAGTCTCCTCTGATGGACTGACCCTCCTGTACAGGATCAGCACCTCATTCACTGAGCCCCTCTATCCAGAGTTTGTGGTTTATCAAAGCAGCGATCCGTTTGAGGATTTTGAGTCTGAGGATTCTGAGTCTGAGGATTCTGAGTCTGAGGATCACATTGGACGCTCAGTGTCGTGGTGCAGGCTGCGATAGCTCACTGCGCACTGGAGGAATCATTTTTACTGTATCACAGTTTAACGTGTTGCCGCTTCTCCACGGTAAATCTGTTTTTTAACATGTATAATCCTTTTTACTCTGAAGTGTGACTGATGTTAGATAAGTTTTTTTCTCTCTGACTAAAATACAACAATGTAATCCTGCTGGGGAGGGGGCATAAGGTAACCCGCTCCCCTGTATATGTACATTCTATATAATTTATGTATATATTGTATTTTCCTCTCTACAATGACAATAAAGGCCTTCTACTCTATCCTGTTAATGTCCGGATTCATCGGTGCCCAAAGCATAGCGGAGTAACATAATTAAACAGCAACTCTATGGGGAAATAAATTCACTTTAATTTTACAATTGAGCATAACGCACTATTAGACTAAATCGGCATATATTATAACCGTTTAACTGCAGACAACTGAGAAAGCAAAACAAAAAATCTGTGGAGTTGGAAACAAAAAATAATGAATCACATTAGTAACATACAATAGATTCAATAGCCAAAATACAAGCAGGAATAACGTTTTCCTAACAGTGAACTGCCGTACCCGAAAACCGACAAGCTAATTAGCAAACGACCAAATGTCTCTGTCACCCCTATTAAAACACGGGAAAGGATAATATAAAAAATTAACTAAACTCCTTAAGGTGAAATGCCAACTCGGTGGAAATTAAACTCCGAAATTAAACTTGAGAGCCCTGAAATAAGGTGCAACGTAAGAGAGCAGAAATCGGCGCTGCGCCCCCTGCTGGCGGCTTGTTTGTTTCTCCCCCCCCCCCTGTCTATATAGATGCCACGCACCTGTTCACTTGGGGGCGAGTCTATAAGACCTTCCCGGTTAAACCTATATGGGGGCAATAAAGGATTGTGACATCAACTGGATTCAAACTCACTGGCTCCAGTTGACCTGCCAGTCACAGCTGGGTCACTTTGCAGCCATGAAAATGGATGGAAAAGCACTGCCTGTGTTTGAATGAGAAATTATGTGCTGGAAAAATAATGCTGTGTAAATGTTTACATTTGTTTAAACATCCTGGCAAGAGCATTCATCAATTAAAAAAAAACTTTACTGTATTTTGACTGAAATGCTGAGCTAAATTGTGTATTATTGTATATTATTCTTTTGATAATTGCAAAAAAAGAAACCTCTTTAGGCCGAGCTTGTCGCCTGCTCAGGCCAGACTAACTAATAACTAACTACCGACACAACTACCTCAGTATTTTCATAGATTCAAAGCAAATCAAAATAAAGCGTTTCTCTTTCCATCACATATGGAAGTGGCCAGTGTGTTACATAATTATCATTTAAACAAACTAAACAGTAACTGTAGTACAGTCGAACCTCGTTACAACGTACCCCGTTTATAACGTTTACACCAATACAACGTTCAAATTTCGATGTCCCGAATTCGCGTAATGCATTATTCCATTTGCCGGTATCGCTTAGAACGTACACCTTTACAGCGTAAACTTCGATGTAACGTATGATTTTCAGAGGAAAATAGGCAAATTGACCTTCGTTACAACGTACAGCCTCATCTTCCGAACGCGTGCACAATTCAGAATCGGCTGTTACCGGCCATCTACATTGCTTAGCAACGCCTAATTGTATGAACCTATCCTCACGAAGCATTCCACGCCGGCCGGACTCCTTGCATGCAGCCCCCGTTTTTTCATGGTTTTGCATGGTGTCATGCTGCCGCATATCGAGCAAGATGCCTGCTAAAAGGAAACGGATTTCGCTGACCGACAAGGTGGAAATAATTCAGAACTATACATGGCAGCCTTGTACTGCAGACGCGAACTAAGTTCTGAATCTGTGTGTTTATTGGGGTAATTGTGTGACATATAGTGAAAGAAATTAACAAAAGACAGATGTCTAACACATGAATCGAAATTTATTTCAGCCAATTGAATCATATACAGGTGCATAATTTCGGTTTGACATTAGGTTACAGTAAGGCGATTTGAACGATAAGCCGGCAGTGGATTTTGCGTTATCTCGGCTGTCTATGAGTAACTGATATTAACCTAGTTTGAAGAATATAGTTCCTATTATATTCTTCAAACTACACAAGCTGTATGTCATAGTGTCTACTTGAGGGGTGTTTTCTAAAAGTTTTTTATATACATTTTGTGTTCTATCATTCATTTTGAGGGACTTGGTTACAACGTACTATGGTTATAACGTACAAATTCTTAATTCCCCCGAGGTACGTTGTAACGAAGTTCGACTGTAGCTTCATTACAATTATGTCACAGGCAGGAAGACGTCTTTCACTGCTATTTCTAAATGACAAGTTCTGATTAATCACGTGTTACTCTTCCCCCTACAGAGGAAGCACAGTCACCCTTCCATGCAAAGGCTGCTTATTTGGGTCCCCAAGTGATCCTGGTGAAAATGTATCGTGGCCATCTCTGCTTTTTCACGGCCAAATAATTAGCCAGGATAACCTGTGATAATGATATATAATTATGAAAAATATGAGAATTCTTGTGTTAAACCATGTGCCAATTAAATAAGGCCTTTTGTAACACATTTTATTTACAGTACTTACCTTTTGACAAAACCAAGAGTTAAGAACACATCTATTGTTAAAAGGATGTTACGATATTAACATGAGACAAAATAATTGTATATGTTGCCAATTTTTAACGTAGCAGAAGTATAGAAGAATAGGAGAGCACAGAAGGTACAGGTCCCCCGTCAGTCTGTCTGGTGAATGTGGGTGTCTGTGTGAGAGTGGCTCATCGGCAAGGCCTGCGCAGATGAGACTCCAGATACCGGGGTGGGGGTGCTGCGGCAGGGGACAGTGGCGCCCCCGTGGGTGTTGGTACTGTGCATCCGGGTGCCACCGCTCCCTCCAATCGCCAGGCAACCAGAAGGCAGGGAGCGGATCATACAAGGAAGATGACACAGGCAGAACGGCGAACTGGATGCACGGACGTCATTGGTAGAGGCGACATCACATGCTGCAGGGTGTGCTGGACATCTTGATAGATTGAGGGCTCCAGGCAGCACCATCCAGGAGAAGCAGGGGAAATAAATGCAATTAGTCAAAGTAAGGGAGACTATAGGCAGTGCCAAAAGGTAGCCACTCACCCCCCCCCCCCCCCTCATTATTTTAACTGCATTTTAGACATACATCCATGGATGATGGGGCGGTGCGGGGGCGGTAGTGAGGGGATTTTGAGGGGGAGGGTGTGGTGACTGGAGAGGGACGGTTGGGGGGGGTCGTGGTAGCCAAGGGCGGGGGTGCCTGGCCGTTTTGGGGCGGCTGGGTCCATGATCGTTCGGGGGTCTCCTGGCCGTCTGGGGGGCCCCGGGGCGGCGTTGTTGTGGCCTCGCTCACTCATTGGGAATCATTCCATGTTAACCTGCACACTCATACATACACACACACACACACACACACACAAACGAACATCCTTTTTTCTCAGATGCAGATACTAGTGCGGCGATATCCAGACTGTGTTCCTGTTGGTCTGCTTATGTATTTTTTTCTTTGGTATTAATGTATTTAATTCCAGAAGCACAAGCTTATTCTCTGTCATAATGGTACCATTGGTTTCTTTGTATACTTTTTATGCACCTGGATCTTGTTTTTCAGATACAGCAGCTGGTGTGATGATACAATGTCCAGCAGTAAGATGCAGAAGCTTCCCTTTGTTACTCTTTCCTTTTGCTCTACTTTTTCTTAAGTCGTCATGTATTATTTTTCTTTCCCTGTTTTTCTCTCTCTATCTGACCCCCCCCCCTTTTTTTCTTCTTCTTCTACTTCTTTCTTCTGTCTCTCTTCTCTTTCTCTCTTTTTCCCTCTCGTCTTTCTGTCCCTCCTCTCTTCCTCTCTTTATCTCTCCTATTTCAGTTAACTTTCCCTGTCGGCTCCGGCTTAATGGTGAATAAAGAGTATATCTCAAGTAACAAGAGGAGCTTAATCCGAAGCTCCACTTGGCAGAATAAAAGTGTTGGCACAATAAAGCACCCAGACTAACATCCTGCTTGCTAAACTGCCGGACATGACGGGTAAAAAAAAAAGAAAGAAAATGTTTTATATTGTTATAATAAATCCCTTCATCCAAAGAAGCACAAATATTTTATCTGTGTGTTCTTGGGAAAGAAGGTCAGAGCTTAGGAGCTGCAAGTGACCTGCTGCAGAAAGCGAGACGTTCTAAATGCAATTTACAGCTTGGAGGAGAAGCCGCTCGTGCAGCCACCTGCGATTCTCCTCTGTGACTCCTGGCAAATCCCACGATAAAGCCAGCAGACGGACGGCTTGTCTGTCATCTGCAGAAAGCTCAGCATCTCCGGCAACCTGGGAAACGTCAGTAACCTCAAGGTCAAATGCATAGCTGCTGTCCAAGTGTAACTTAATTAATATAAAAACCAGAGATTTACATTAATCAGGGAAGTAGCGTTTGGTGACACTTTACTTGATGGGGCAGAAATACTTAGTAATAACTCAGTCACTACAGTAGGTCCTTGGGAGTTCCTTCAGTAGCTCACAAAGTTTACAGAATTAGATACAGTAACAAATATAGTAACTGCTTGAGGTAAAACATGCATCGCAATTCATTAATGATGAATGAACATGAGTTCAGTATGCAACTTATTTTGTGGTTAATTAATATATAAGTAATAGTATAATACTGCATTATTTGTGGCCTGCCAAGTAAAGTGTTACCTAGTGTTTTTATGTAATACATGGTATTCACAGAAATACACCATTTGTGATTCATATTCACACTTGGGGTTCAGCTTCAGGTTGTGCAGAACGTATCAGACTTATGGTGCTGCGTGTGTCAATGTCAGGGCAGTCCTCAGTTTGCACTGATGCTGTCTGGGGATCCCCCACACAGGACATGCATAATTACAGGCCTTAAACCATGGTCTACCGTGTAGAAAGAAGTGCGCCACCTTCTGATCTGATAAAGCATAGTCACCAAATTATAAGTCTAGTTTCTGCCATAACATAGTGATGTGAAGAAGACATTGAGGTTGGCATGGTATCAAATGGTCTAGTTATTAGTGATGGGCAAATGAACTGTTTGCTGCATTTTTTGACCTCACTAGATGGTGCTCTTGGCTTGCTTTGGGGCATGCTTTGAGCCATTTTTTGAACAGACAGCACCATCTAGTGGAGTCAAAAAATACATCAAATGGTTCATAAGTATCATTTTGCCCATCACTACTAGTTATCCTTCAAAACGCTGTTACTTCTGTGTCTCCTAGAAATAATGAAAAATAACTGCAGTAATTACCAAAGTGTTTGCTAAAGCAGCAATATTTAGAAATCATGTAGTCTAGATATGCAGTAGTGGCAACATCAACTGTTCACAAATTGGACAGTGAGTTAAAGGTATAGTATGATTTGGCTTGAATTGATGTATCTTAATACATGAAACCTTCCTGCTTCATTATTAATGTAAGCTAGAGTGACCTGTGAATCTGTCCAGATGAATTCCTCATCAACCTTTATGCTGAGTTCAGGTTTCAGCAGAACACTCAGTCAGGCTGTGATCACAGCGACTGAAAGCACCAAACGGTGAATGCTTATAATCTGTGATGGAGCAGTTTTGGCTTGGCCATAACAAAACAGCAGTGGACTTTATCCTCATAGCCAAGGATTTAGGGGGGGTGGAGGTGACACACCCCCCCCCCCCAAATGTTGAGATGTGAGGGGGAGGATTATCCCCTTTAATAATAACATAAATAATATAATTATTTTTTTACCAGACAAAAAACACATATGATTAATATATTTCATCACATAATGTAAAGTTTTTCTTTGACAGTGTTCACCTGGAGAACCCCTACCCTCCGTTAAAATGAGTCTCGAACTCCCGCTCCGGTTGGCGACGTACGTCACTTCCGGATGTGAGCGTAGTGCGGCGAATGAGAAAGGTGGAGCGGCGCGGTACGTAAACTTACCTCATGGGAGACCTCGTATCAAAACCAACGGTAAATCAATAAAAGATTATGTGAAATGGCGGAATTTAATCGTCTCATGTCGATCAGTATTCTTTAAGGTCACCTTGATTGTGCGAACTGCAACTAGCATAGCACAAATTACGCTGATAACGCAGCGGTAAATGGCGTTTGTGTCAGTAACAAACCTCATCATGATCGTACCGTTTATACTGTTACAGCATAAGAATGAGTAAGAATCCCATCAAAAGGGGACCAGACATTCGGCATTTCTCTGAAAAACGCCATAAAGTTACTACTTAAGGTCTCCGTATCATTCAGTTAATAAACCGCTGACGGAAAGTTATTTTTTCTTTATTGCTAAGAAGGTATTAAATAAATCCCCTTAATTTACTTCTTCTGGTTTATAGTCGTAAGCGAACATGCTCTGTCTCCTAGTCACTATTTTTGTCTGTGATTTTGTTTGTGTTTGTGCTAATTAATTCAAGAAAGTCAGAATGTGTTTCGGAGAGAAGACAGGGTATAGGGGAATGACAAGGCATCATACCAGATCCTGAGCTGTCGTCTTTTTTGCACATTGAAGAGTCTGAAATTTGTGCCATGATCTCGGGATTTGTGCAAAAAAAAAAAAATTAAACACACCTTATTATACAAAGAATGATGGCACATCTAAATCACAGGGTAAGAATTTGTACATAATGTTTTCTCATTTAAACCCATTGTTTTAAAACAGCTTAATGTAAAATATATATAGGGAAGTGTTTGGAAGGGAGCAGGAATCAATCTGCTTGAGATTTGTGGACCATGACTTAGGGCCTCATAAGGATTTTGTTGGTCTATTTGAGGTCTCATCAACAGCTGGTGAGAGCATTTGCGAAATAGCCTTAGATCTGCTTTCCCAGCTTAACTTACCTATTTCAGGTGTGAGGGGGCAGACACATGATGGGGCAGCTAATGTGGCTGCTAAGCACTCAGGGGTCCAAACCCTTTAATGAAACGTCAGCCCTTGGCTCTGTACCTCCACTGTGTGGCACATTGTGTGAATTTGGTCACCCAGGCAGCCTGTACAGCCTCTCCTTTGAGTCGGGATTCCTTACAATGGGTCCATGAGCTCTGACACCCATTTAGCCATTCAGAAAAATTCAAAGCAATTTTTGCCAGAATTGCGACATCTGGGGAAACACATTACAAAACTCTGAAACCTCTTCATCTGACATGGTGGAGAGTTAGACTTGCAGTATGTTGTTCGGTTCTTTACCAGTATGAAGCTGTGCTGCAGAGTTTAGACAAAATGGCCTCAGAATCAACAGGTATGGCAACAAGGGTAAATGGACTTCTAGAGAGGTTTCAGAAGGGTACACCAATACTGGCACGACTTCTGCCTCGTGTACGACATTCCCAAAGGCATTAGTGGTGCAGCAGATCCACATGTGGCAGGCTCAGCTGTGGAGAACTACAGAGCAGATGACTATAAGATGCTGGATGTTGTAGATCTTTAACTTGGAGAGCGATTTGACCAGGCAGATTTTAAAGAAATTGTGAAACTTGAACATCTTTTCATGAAAAGGGATATGGGTGATGTAGTAGACAAATACCCAGAGCTGAATAGAGAGATTTTAACCATTGAGCTTAGAATGTCCCACTCAAAGTATTCTTCCAGCTCTTGTGCTGAGGCGGCTGACGTCATTAACAGAATAGCAACAGAGGTGAAAGAGATGTTTTGTCAGATGGAAGCTCTGGTGAGGTTAATATTTGTGGTTTCTGTTTTCTCTGCTGAGGCAGAGTGAAGTTTCAGTGCCCTGAGACGCCTTAAGCCATGGTTACAATCAACAATGTCGTCTGTCATGTCCACAAAGATAAAGTAGATCAGTTAGACGAACAGCAGTCTGCCAGGAATTTGTGTCATTTCATGATAGAAGAATGAATGTGTTTGGGTCCTTCAGTAAGGTCTGAAATTAAAATTGAATGTGGAACTATTGTTTATTATTTGGAGTTTAACTGTGCAAATAATAAGTAAAGATATTCCTAAAAAGCCTGTGCTGCTTTCTGCCAAAGCCTTTGACTTGCATAGGTGTGAGTCATGACCAGCCACCTCTCATTTCAATGTAATCCCCCCCCCACGCCCATGCCTATCCTACACTGCTAGTGTCTGAGAGGTGGTAGAGTTCTATTCTGACAATTTTACCAAAGTCTCATGGTCGATGATAACTTGGCACTGAAAGCATTCTCAGCCTTAGGAGACCAGACTTCCATTCCTCCCACTGTGGACTTAAGTCCTGAGGAAGTAGATAATCCCATCCCATATTTCCTGTAAAACACACTTCCCACCCAGGATGAATGTAGCCACAAACCAAAGTGGATCGTACAAGGAAGCTACGACTGACAGAATGCCACGGCGTATGCCTGGCTTGTCTTTTAGCTTTATATTAAAGGTAAAACAGTTACTCTTAACCACTGAACACCAAGAGCATGTTCAACTGATGCAGAATTAGGGTTAAGGTTGAAGCATTCAACACTTCCTGCTCTTTCAGAAGGCTCCACACAAAAAAGGATTTCACTCTCATTTGAGCTGAATTTGTGAAACTGCAAACCTCCACATTTACGCAATTCTTGTGCTTCAACAATCAGTTTCCTGGCCTCATTCAAATGAACATTAGGCCATTATCATCATAAAATCTATTCTCAACAAATGTGGCTACAGATGGATAATCCACTCTGCGAATAGATTACCCACTGTCACGTAGAGTAAACCACGTTGCAATGACTGTCATGTACCGCCAGGGGAGAGGAGTTCTGTACCATCGTAATGGGCCAATAGATTACCCACTGTCACGTAGAGTAAACCACGTTGCAATGACTGTCACGTACCACAAAGGCTCTAACGTATCACTGTCATTCAGCACATGCCACTGTCGCGTCAAAGCGCTGTCACGTGCCACGGTCTTTACGTGCATGACACTGCCATGTAATAACGTAACAGTACAGTACACTTGAAGCTGTAACCACTGCTGACACGTTGGTTGTCAATAGGTGATGATTTCCAGGAAGGAGTTCAAGGGGTTAAACTCACTTCAGAATGACAGTTTACGATGTCTACAAGTAAAATGGCCCCGGAACATACCAACAGGAACTGGCTGACAGGTCAGGGATATCCCATCTCATTCTGAGGTCTATTATTCCTCAAGGTGTGGCCGGTTTTAACTGACTGTCAAGACAGTATATTAAGTTTCCCTAGTGTGGATGTATAGGCCAATACTACAGTGCAATTTGCAAAAACCTCTGCCTCTCCTAATGCTGCCAGGGCTATTGTATGCACGCACACACATCACAATAAAAGCACCATCAGAGCATGAAGCTGCTCTTGTGAAGAAAGAAAAGACTGTTTTCAAAGACTTTGAGAGATTGTATTTTATGTACATTTAAAATAATTGACAAAATGTGTAATTTTATGTATTTGATTGTTTGTTTTCTGTCATGTTAAGAACTTTCATTAGCAGGCTTACAGACTTTTAAATGTAGCCCCTCACTGTCTTTGGCTAGATACACTATAAATCACGTTTATATACAATTTAAAAAGTTAAATTGTAATGGAAGGATTGTAATGTAAGGGGGTAAATGAAGGAGAATATGTTTTATGTGTTTTAGTCGATTAAGCTGGGAGAAGCACTGCTCTTTCTCACACAGAAAATATTTACTGTCTCTTCAAATGATTGCTTGTAAACTTAGAGATCAAGGAAATTAGCCTTGTCTACTGTTGCATTTATCATAAACATTGTTTATCTTCAAGATAATAGGGTTGGCAATTCAGGCATCTTACGTGACACTTACGGCCAATGCATACGTCACTTCTCTGCGTGCGCTTTTGGTCGTGGACGAGGGGACGTGACGAGAATTTCATCTCCAGGGGCTGGCTGTGGACTGCTGCCATAATATACATCTGCAGACTCTCAATGCCACTATCAGGCCCCTCTGGTTGGTGGACGCATTTGTGTTTAAACCAAAAAAACATGTAATTATCATGTATAGTGGAATTCTAAGGCACAATTAGGCCTAAAGGTCTGTATCAGCAGCAGAATGGCCATGCAATTTGGGTT